CCCGTGAAAGCCTCAAGAATATGCTATAACATCGTATATAATCAAAGTTTTTCATCTCTTGACGATCATGCTATCAAAGGAATGTTACTTCAATTGTAGAAATCATAGCGGCTTTTGATTAATTTGGCGATTTGGTAGTAGCGTAGAGTAGCATCGACAGAAGTGGGCCACACTTTGGTTTTCATGCTATAGGATAGTTATAATTAATATTTTTTGAACACTAATTGCGTGTATTTGTAGAGAGAGGGTTTATGTAAGTTTTGGCAAACACATATTTGAAAATTTTTTATTTTAACGTATTGTTTTACATCGTTAAGTAAAAAAAGAGAAATATGCGATTTCACGATTTTGCAGACAGAAGTGGGCCACCAATGTTTTTCATCGAAAACAAGTACAAGGATCAAGCACTATGAATCTAGATCAGAGTCACAATTTCTGCACGTGAAATAGCTTCGATTTCCCATGTCGACGCACTGCAAATGAAACGCACGCTCGCATGTGTTGCATTTGATTGAATTGTTCTTTGTCATTTTGTGTGGCATCAATTTAGTGCAATTTAAACAAAAGTCATGATCTTCTTCTGAGGATGAGGACGAAGGTTTCGAACGCTTCACCTTTTCTGTACGACGTTTTTTCGTAAGAGGGGTGTTTGATTTGCGTCGCTTTGCTGCTGCATCTTCTGCTGCTTTCCTATGTTCGGGCAATGTTATGATGGCGCTTTGCATTGGTTTTCGTCCACGGTTCGATTTTTTCTTCGGTGTAACACGGCGAAATGGACTGACTTCATCCAGTGTTGAGTGAGACGTAGATGCAACAGCTGAAGATCCAACAGAGCTGACCTCTTCATCAGCAGCCGGCTGTTCATAAGAAACCGCAGTTTCAATACCTTCAAGGGTAACTTCATTGACACCTTTTGCAGCAAGAAAATCCTCTTCTGCAAATATTTCTGGATTGAACGGAAAGATTCCGGTTCGTTGAAAACCACTTGCAATGTTACGGGAATTCACGCTATTTTGAATAGAAATGGCAACGATTTCAGCAACATGTGTAATGTCAAGTGATAAACCGATATGGTTTTTTGTCCAAGCATTGCACAGCATATGACTTCTTCAGTGGGGCAAAAACGCCGACGTCTAACGGCTGCAGCTTATGGCTACAATGCGGCGGCAATGTCAAAATCGTAATGCCGTATTCTATGGCTATATCGATAACTTCGATTGTAACATGAGATCGATGATTATCCATTAACAGCAGAATTGGGTTCTTTCGACGCATGAGCAAACTTTACGAAATGCTTCATAAACTCGATGAAGTCGTTCGACGTCATCCAACCACTGCCATTTGCAAAACCGACAACATTTGAAGTGGCGTTATAAAGGTATGTCGACTGCATTTTTTTACGCGGGTATAAATAAAATGGCGGAATTGTATCACCAGCAGCACTAACAGCAATGGTCATTGTGACATTAGTACCACGTTCGGCTGAAGCATACGAACTGGCACGAAAACCTTTTGCAGCTACGATTTTTACGGGTTTGGTCGGCACAGTTGGAAATCCGGTTTCATCTGCATTCCAAATTCTATTGGGAAGATACGGGTATTTATCCAATGCTGACTTCAAAAGGTTGAAAAAGTTATCAACATTTAGTTTATTAAATGCTTTGGCTCTGTTTGCACTGGTTGGCGTTGGTTTCAGCAGAGAAAGACGGCCGTGACGTCTTTTAAAAGCGTAATACCAATCTCTGGTGGCTATTCTGGCATCATCCCAATTAGCCGGGTAATCAGCTACAACTTTTTTTGCAAATTGGTACGCCAACTTGCACACGTCATCGATGGTAAGACCATAATTGATTTTGGCACATTTGATGATGTATTGGCCAAGTTGTTTTTCTTGAATATTTGTGAAAATCTGCAAAATAAACAAAGAAAGTTAATCAGAAAAAATGAATTAATAAATAAATGAAATAAAGCTAAAAGACATGAAAAAATACCGTTTTTCCACCGTGTCTTGGTCTTTCTTTGAGGAAATCCAACAATTGTTCATCGGTGGCGAAATCCTCATATACGCTATCTACGCGTTTCAGGTGACGTTGAAAAGTTGATCGCCTCATACCTGCAGCAACACAAGCAGCGCGTTCCGAAATTTTATTGATTTTTACTTGCTTTATAGCACCAAGCAATTTGTCGTAGTCAATGGGTTCATAGCCAGTCGGTTTATGTTTTCTTGGTGGCATGATCGCCAAAACGTTCAAATTAATTAATCGAACCACTTGATTAGTTTATATACAAACACTAAATGTCGAAACAGAACGTCAATAAAGTGGCCCACTTCTGTCTGCAAAGAATGGCCCACTTCTATCCACAAGCACAACTTGACGCGAAATAACTTGGCGAGAACACCACGCGACAATATGCTCAAATCACTTTACATTTTTGAAGGTCAGGTCTAATACTATCATACAGGCTGTTTACCCGATTGAATTTAATTAATAACTTATGCAAATCACGATAACTTTCACAATGAGAAAAAAGGAAAAAATATATATATTTTTGGCACTAATTGCTGGAAAACACAAATGTACGTCTGCACGCTTCAATACACCTACTGAAAACTGAGCTCTTGTTAATAAACAAATACCAAAATATTCGGTTGGCAGACGTCACTAGCGAAAAAAAAAATGGCGAGTGGCCCACTTCTGACGGTGGCCCACTTCTATCTATGCTACTCTACCTATTTCTATAGAGCGGCAGCGGCCGTCGCCTTCGACCTCTCTGCCGTTGTAGATGATACTTAATCCTACAAGGTTCTTTTTGGCAGAGGTGTTCGGAATGATAACAGTGCGTCGCCGGTTATGTGTACAATGTACTTACAGTAGTATGTACAAGGTATATGGGTGGCCCTGAGAAGGGCCGATTGTAGTATTTTATGTGGTCCTGAAAAGGGCCGTTTGATTCGGCGCGGATTACGTCGGCAGCCACTCCCGATATTCCAGCGCTGGCAGTCAACGCGTCCTTTTAGCCGGTCCCCACGGTATGTTGTTATTGGCGTCGCGAACCTTCCAGGCTGGTGACGTCCCCGACGGTGTGTGCGGCGGTGGCGGTTGCCGAGTGTTCCTGGGGGGCGTCTCCCACTCGTCCCTCGTCGTCTGCGTGCCCGTCGAGACTCGTGGCGGCGTCTCTGGTGATGGTGACACTACCGCGGGTAGTAGCTAGCGGCGAAATGACCGCTGGCGTTGATAAGTAGCAGGGCGACGTTGGTCGGCGTAGTCGGCTGTCCCAGGTACTTACGAGAGCCCGCGGTGGCCGTGTGAGTCTCCGGCATTGCGGCGAGATCTCCACCCGTACTAATCGCCACGGCGTAGGTGACGGCGACCTCGGGGTGTCCGGCGCTGCCCGCGCGCCGCGTCCCCTGCCTCTGCCGCTGGCGACTCCTCGGCGCTTGGTGGTCCTGGAACGCCGCTGCGGCTGCTGCTGCTGCTGCTGCGGAGGTCGCTGCTGCTGCTAAGGCGGCGTTGGTCTTGCCGGTACTTTGGTAGGTCGGATCCTGTGCCTCTCCATGTTTGCTGTCCGAATGTCGTACTGGCTCGGAATGCGGCGAGCGATGAGCGATTTGTCGTCGCTTCGGCGGGGTTTATATCCCCCGCCGGGCGGAACTTGAACGCGAGTCCGCGTTTGTCGCGCCAGCCCCCTGGGGGCTCGTCCGCGGTACCTGTATTGCGCGACTCGCGAGCACTTGCGAGAAACTTCGCGTATTCGCCCGCGCGCACTCAGTCTGCGCGGCGGGTCCTCGTTCTGTTGGCGCTTGGTGGCTGCCACAATTAACATAATAACATTTCATCGCAGAACAAAAATTGTATATGATAATTGTATTCTCTGTATAACGATTGGATAGGGTTTGTGATTAATAGGATTATGACATTGATAATGAGATCTGTCGACAGATCGAAACGTTTGTCTTAGAATTTATGTAAACGAAAAGAATTAAAGTTTGTATTTTTCACCAAATTCACCAGGTGTACGTGGAATAAGCCATTTTGTTTTACAATTAATTGTTACTTGATCCACGGTTGTTTGTTGTTGTATTAATTGTAATTAAGTCTAACAAATATTTCAGTGCGTCGAATTGTAAACAATGCTCTTAGAATTCGACGTACTGAAATAAATGAAATAAATTGTATGTCAATAATAGTTTTATAATGCTTATCGGACTTAATTATTGTTTAATTTTGCTCTTTTACATTTCTCTAACAATTATATCAATGTAATTAAAAAATGATCCGATACACAAAAGGTTCAATATTCGTTTTAATTTTATCATTCTAATTTATAATTTACCGAAATTAGCATATTTAAAGCATGTAAAAGACAAAGAGCGTATGATAGAGGGGAAAGGTAAGAAGGAACGTGTTTTTATAAAAGTGTTAATACGTCCGATCAGTATGCGCCCCGTGTGTAAAGCGTCCGCTCTTGCCCGTTTCCTGTACGCGACCCTTGATACGTTAACTATTTCTTCTTGTAATTTGAAAACAAAGCTTCGGACAAAATTTTCGTAAAAGAAAAGTCGTCTTAGAATTTGATCAGGAATACATCTCTTCAGGGACACCTGGGTTGTTCTAAATCACCGTGTACAAACTTATTGATACTATACATAAAATTATGTTAAAGACATAACTTATGTTAATGAAAGCTATGATGCAATATTTTGTACAAAAGATGGGTACATGAATCACATGTGCTTGTATTTAAAAAAAATTTGAGTTTGTATGTGATTTTTTACAATACACAAAGTTTAAATTTTAAGTTTTCAATTTATTTTCTACCTATTTCCTCTATTAATAAGATTCTTACATTTCTTACACTTTTCTATATTTTACTTCCCTTTTTATTATGTAAAAATATATATAGTAAATGTATACTGTAATGGAAGTGCAATTTTGACAACGGGTTTCCTACAACGCACTATTTACTGGCATGTTAAATATCTTCATCTAAAATATCATAATAATACAAAATAATTATAAAAAGAATTATATAAGAAAGGGAGAAGTAGTTTATTACGTAGTTTATTACGCTGCTAACAAATTAAGAATATCATTCATACTTTCTGAATTATAAATCTTTATATGAAAACTGCGAACCTTACCCAGTCAGAAATGTAGAGTTGATCCAAAGTTGATTCAACATCGATACGGTTGACAATGGATTGAATCGATGTAAAATCAATATTCCTGTAATATTGACATAGTTGACCCCTGTTAAGCTAGCCCCTCCACCAGCGATAAATGAATTCTAACACACACCAAAATTGGGTGCTAATTAAGTGCTAATTAGGTGCTGAAGTGCCAAATTAGATGCTCGAACCGTTTGGCAGAAAAAAAAAATTTTTTTGGGAGGGCTAGTTTAATATTAAGTTAGCCCCCCTCGAATAAAAAAAAATAAATAATTATTGCGTAAACAAACAATACACCAGAATTAGGTGCTCCAAAGAACGACAAATATAATTCGAAAATATATATCATATACAGAATTATATACAGAAATTAGGCGTCAGTCGAACAGTCGGAGCACCTAATTAGCACCTAATTCTGGTGTATTTGTTTTGTTTGTTTACGCAATAATTAATTATTTTTTTTATTGGAGGGACTAACTTAATATTAAGCTAGCCTCTCCAAAAAAATTTTTTTTCTCTGCCAAACGGTTCGAGCACCTAATTTGGCACTTCAGCACCTAATTAGCACCTTATTAACACCTAATTAGCATCTAATTTTGGTATGTGTTAGAATTCATTTATCGTTGATGGGGGGGGGAGGGGGGCTAGCTTAACAGAGGTTGATGACTTGCGCGGCTGTATTATTTCGGACACTTCGTTCAAAATGGATAGTATGGCTTTCGATTGACTCAACATTGATTTCACAGGCGTGGAAGGCCTGTATAGGATTGTACGAAACACTTGGTCGTCTTCTTTTGGGTTTTGGTTCCTCATCTTCTTCCGAAAAGAATGTTTCAGTCATGATAGAATCCTTGGAAGAGTCAACGTTTGTTTTCGACAGTCTGTTTCAACGGATCGATAATAAGTTTAAAGTGTCTCTCCAATGCAACGTCCTCCAACATTTTTCCAATATTTAAAGCGCGGTACTTTTTGCGAATCAAATTGTTCGTTTTCGCAATCTCCTTAGCAATCTTCTCACGATCTATGCCATTATCTATGCCAACGTATCGATATCAACTAATCACGTCACGGTACCGCAAAATCGTTAAATCCTTTTCTGTCACCCATCGGTAAGCGCACTATCCTTGTCACTAGAAATCCATATTTTTTCTGTTAATATTTACGACATAAATCGCTGAAATCCTCATAGGATATGTCGGTATCCACGTGATTGTTGTACACGCGCTTCAGATTGGTACCATCCTGTTTGAACAGGAACAACAGATTTGCATTGTCGCGGATAAGGTGCTTCCGTATCTTTGCGTACGTTTGACAGAGATAGAAGCAGTCGACGTCCGCGTGTCGTCCCATCGTAAAATACTCTCTTACCACCTTCTACTTGTGGCGTGCCACGTCATCGAAGATAAAGATAGAATTCGGAAGCGCCTCGCTCGTTGGAATGACGTCGCTATTATTGGAAAACGTAAAATAACCGATTTCCTGAATTGGTGCTAGTAATTTCGTCAGGTATTGATATTTCGGATGTTGCAGTGATTTCGAGTATACGTACACATTCTTGAATCGTACGCCGTCGGTTACATAATTTAACCGACTGTCGAAATGACAAAACACGTATTGTTTTCGCAGTTATTATTTAAAAATTTGACGATAATTTTAAACATATTAACGAATTACAAAATGTTGCATAAGAGAGATTCATTGTTCATTGTAGAAGCATGTGAGGTTGAGTTCTCATAGCCACTCAGCTTTCTAACTTTGTGAGTATGTGACTTGCCTCACGACAGTTAACGGTTCCATTTTGAGAGGAAAAATGTTGGTGAGATATTATTTTGTTATGCAATACTCCAACCGTTGCGCTAGGGGGAAAGATTGCTGATGAAGACTCAAACCATGAATGGAAACGTTCAAAGTTAAGGTTTATATTTTTAGTATTGAGAAGAATTGCGCTAATTGATAACCAGCGTTAACTTCTATTGCCTGAACTGTACGTTTTATGTTCTTTCTAAATTGTTTTAATTTAGGGAGTCTATAAAAACTTATTAGTTTTTTGTTAATTTGTAATTT